GATTAAAAATTACAACGTCAATTTACCAAAGACATACCACATGCAGACTCGAATGTGAATTTCCATAAAACAGGAAAAATATCTTTCGGTTCTATACTGTAACCACACAAGTTATTCAAATTATCGCTTAAAATATTTGCATATTTGGTTAGTATTGGAACAAAAGACTTTAGTACATTTGTGTTGAAAGTTTGATTTATGATTTTTCTGTGTTCTTTCCATATGTTTACTGAAAACATTGTTGAAAATCATTTTGACCACTGACTTTCTGTTTAGTAAATTACGTGGTGCAATAAGTAGGGAACCATTAAAATAATCCTTAGCCAAGTTGTAAAATTCACCCTTATTTAACACGTTAGGAAGTATAATTTCGATATCTTCTGGTCGAGTTGTGCAAACATATAGGTCTGGCCCCATCCACAGTTTAAATATTGGTGGATACTGTGTTGTAAGCTTCAATATAATGTTCAAACATTCTAGAAATATATATAAATAGGTACAAATTTTTACACTGTTAAGCCATATTATATTTTTTAATTTAAATTAAACGAACCCCTTGTTATTGCATAAAAAAATTATTATTCTTTCGGAATATGTACAAAAAAAACTTACCTTTACGCTCTCCTAATAACAAATAAGCAGCCCCAATTATTGGGAAATTAAAAGGGCCTGGCATTTTCATTGTGTGATAATAAAGCCAACGTTTTTTCCAGTAGTAGCAGAAAACAAAAAATACTAACAAAGTACTTAAGACGCATATGAAAATATCAGTAAGTAGAAGATCCTCGAAGAAGGTAATAAATGTCATCTTCGAATGTTGATGAATTATTTAAACCTATTATTGTCCCGTTGTTAATTTATACTCTCGCACTGTTTATAATATTGTTTGATTTGATGGAAACTCGTAGGACCAGTGTCCCATCCAACACAAGAACAAAAGACGTATTGACTCTATGGTTTTATTTTAACTAGTGAGTCGGCCGAAGCCCGCAGAAAGTTGACGCACGTGTACAAAGGGCGGCAACACGCACAAATACGTTAATTTCATATGTTGTGCGCAATTTTTTGCTCATGATCAATTATAAGAACGAGTCAACAAATCCATTTCAACATATACTTTTTTTTAAATCTAGATATGAGTCGTATAAACAGTCTGTATTCAACACATTGATATATGAAAGTAAGCCAACTTGATCAACGTTCGAGTGGTTTAAATCGCTAATATCATTATTGTTCTAGCTTCTCTCTGAATTTTTGAGGATGGATAAGTCCAGGTGTGTGTGCGACTTAAAGAGTGCGTTTATGTTGGAGCAACGCTAAGCGAAGAGAGCAACGATAAGAGCGAAGTAGCGAAAATGAATGCATGTAATTAAATGCAACCGTTTATGTTGAAGCAGCGCGATGTTGCATTTAGTTATACGCATTCGTTTTCGCTGCTTCGCTCTTCCTTTAGTGTTGAAACCTGCTGTTACTTGAAAAAAATCATACATAATTCAGTGAGACATTTTGTTGATCAATTAAAACACTGCCAACGGAGAATACCTTGAACATTTATTGTAGTCCCACTCATAGTTTATTATTTTATTAGTATCTTCAAAGATGACGTGATTTTACAATATTAGGGGCCGATTTATAGAAAAGCGAATTTACAAGGAACGGACCTCAATCTAAAGTCAATCGCGAATTAACTTTAATGTCGTTTTCTATAAACCGGGTCTAGGTATTTTTTTGTGAATTCATCAAAAAATGTGAAAAAACTCTGGGTGTTCCATTAAAAAAAAAGGTAGGCGGCCTTGTGTGTCAAACCGAAAGCGATAAAAAAGGAAAAACATTGTAATCAAGTTGCTATATTTAACTACATATCCACACAAAATTTCCAAAAAAAAGCTTTTCAAACAACAAGGTTATTCAATTCTTCGGGGACTTTATACTAACCCTGTATAAATAAAGTAAAGTGGGGAACGAACGTTCCAATGGCTTAACACTTCCTCTCGAACCTCAACTACTTTATAAAACGAAAACTATTATTATCAATTGCGTCTCTCCCTAACACATTTAACGCAGTTTTCATGTTTAGCTTTGGTAATGTTCTTGGTCAGAATGTCCGCTACCATCTTCTCAGTAGGACATGCTCAATCGCAATTGGTCTGATCAGCTCCACCAACAGTTAATGAATTCATCGTAAATTTTGAATAGTAAATGCTACTTAAATTTCAGATTTGTTATGCCCATTGTAGATATTTTTCTTGGCAAGATATTGAATAAATAGTAGAAATAATAATTTTCATCACGATTATACTTTTGAATAGAAGAGAAAGAAGAGCAATTTAAAATTTTTCGTAACTATTATAACCATTACACATTCTCATTAAACTGAATTAAGGCGATCTAGGAATAACAGACGAATAATTTGTTGTTACATAAATATTACAACTTTTATTGCTGTAACATTAGTTAAGACATACAATTAGTATTACGATTATTTACTGCCATATTACTAGAATATGTAGCAGTGTTAACAAACACCATATTAAAAAACAAGTTTTATAAGACGTTATTTTAGAGTATGAATTCCAAAATTAGAAAACGAGTGGTTATACCAGTTTTCTATGGGATGCGTGCTCTAAAATGTTTTATGAAACGTATATTGTATACTATTTTTTCTACTTCGCTCCTTTTTTACTTCCCGAGGAAGCATTGTATGTAATAGGGTCCCTTCGACGAATGTACACTTTCATGTTTTCTCGACCATTCATGACTTGTAAAGTACGAAAAAGTATGTCTCGGGTTGCTGCCTGGCTGTTGTCTGCCCATGTCGATTTTTATTAGACAGATAATCTATGAAAGTACTGAACCGATTGTTGTCACATTTTGTATGTGTGAAGGTGAAGACAATCTTACTCTCCCAGAAATACAAGAAATTGCCCAAAGTAGCACTCAGTATCTTTGGAAGGTCTAAATCTAAATTTGTCCGGATGCTTCAGAACTCAGCTGCAGTTAAATGAATCACGTGACAGTAATTTCAGCAAAATATTATGAGAATCGCCCTTATGTGGCATTAATCTAAGTGCCCAAGACACATCCAATGTGGCATTAATGTTTATAATAATTGTACTTTTCATGATAAAATTTAATTCTAATTAAAAATATAATGTTGAAAACACTCATTTGGGTGCTTGATTATGAATGCGAAGTCGAAAAATATATGTCTGCTGATTTTTTTTAAGTGGCTCTAAATTATTTCATATCTCAGCGTGCCATAAATTGTCATAGCGATAAAGAAAACCAGACTCGTCTGGAAAGCAATACTAATAAATATAACAATCCCTTTTCAATTGGGGGTGTTCAAAAACCAATTTTTATAATTTTTGTGACTTTGATAGTTACCAACACGATATTAATGGTCCATCGTGACACCTTCGAATGGAAATGTAATTTCGTTCAAAATGCAGCAGTATAAAAAATATAATATATGTATGAGCACTGAGCAGGAATCCAGAAGACCTGCCATAAATGGGGGTAAGTCTTCCAGTTTACGATAGATAAAAAAAAAATAATCGAAGGTAATTTGGAAAGAACTTCCCTTACCCCTAAAGTGCCGTCGAGCAAATACGACTTCGAAAAACTGTGAAAATTAACTTTGAGATTTTTTTTATGATGAGTCAAAATTAATATTAGTGTGGATTGTTAAAATACACGTAAAGAACATCAACAACATTTTAGCAAGGACACGTATATCAATTTGAATAGGTGCAATGTAGTACTGTTAATAACAATATTGTATCCTGAATTTTTCGTGAAAATGAGATAAGTACTAAAACATGTCGCAACATTCATTAATTTTTTTGAGTCACTTTATACCTATAACCAACTCTAAAAATATTAACGTTTTAGTAAACTACACGTGTAGTCTCTTAATATTGTGCATATTTTAAATCTATTAGATACAATTTTGAGATAACGTCATCATTTTTTTTTTGAGAGGGGATAAACGGATGAAATCTTATTGACGATTTACTGTGCTTACAATAACAGTAAAACGTTTGTAAAATTTCAAAGCAGTCGGTTTCGCAGTTTCAAAGTTACTTTGTAACATTTTGTTATACAATCTTGATTTTGTATGCCTCATAATTCTATGCCTAGGGTAAAAACTCAACACGGATTCATAAACTACAGCAGTATGTTATTTTACAAAATTGAAATAATATTAATTATTATTGTAAAAGTTGGAGATGACATCACATCGATGTTGGTGGTGGTGATCAGACAAATTTTGGTTAGCATTTTACCATCTGCACGACATTCCTAATATACGACAATCGGTCCGATAGTTTCAGAGATTATCTGTCTAATAAAAATCGAAGAGACACTGATAGACGAGAAATCTATTAGCTTACGCTCGAGAAGTAAAAAAACGTATGTTAGAAACAACAAAGAATTCATTTAAGTCATTTCACTTAAAAGTTGAAGTCAAACTGAAACGACATAATTTTGTAGCGTTAGTGCTATTTGTGATGTGATAATAATTTGTAGACCCTATCTATATTTAAAATTAGGTTGAGAGACTTACTTAGAGTTGTGTTTACAGTAACGCTATTGTTTTCTATAAACTAAGGGATAACAAATTTTGGGAAATATTTCCACACGTCGTTTTTCTTTATGGTGGTGTTAGAATAAGTAAGGAGACCCATTTGTCCCTCTCTGTATATATATATATATATATATATATATATATATATACTTATTAGCTGCGAAAAATTTCCAAGAGTCAACAAGAGTAAGTTTTTTTTTATTTTAGCTATTTATACAAAAAATTTATGGGAGTTCCATAACGACTGATAATTACATTGTTTATGTACTATTAACTTTTATAATCTGAATCATTGAAATTCCAGTTTATGTAAAGAAACGAAATACAATTTATATGAGCATCGACCTCAAAACTAAACATTAACAATAAAAAAAACTTCCAAATTTCAGATTAAAGATTAAAAGTAAAGTTAGGATGACTTTTGTTCATTTCTTTTTTCGAATAGTACTCGATAACCTTTTTTTGCTTTCGATACTAAGAAAAAATAAAATTCAATATCCTCGATATTTTTGTAATCAACTGTTTCTAATATTTTGTAATTCTTGACAATAGTTGCAAGGATGATTTTCATGGATAACATGGCATATTTTGAACCTGTAACGTAAAAGATGACAAATTATAAACGATCGTTGAAAATAACATTTACCGATACAGTTTCTTGCGCCGCAACTAAAAGGAATATAAGTAAAGCGATTTCGTTTTTGAACTTCTTCAGGTAAAAACCTATCTGGGTCAAACTTGAAAGGATCGGGCCACAAATCTGCTCTTCTGTGCAGAGTTGTAATTGGAAAAAACATCCTCGTACCTGCCGGAATAACATATGTATCTACAAAAGAAATGTCAGACATTTGCAAAGATTGTCAAAAAGGTTTTTAAGAACCTAAAGCAACATCTCGGTCTAAAGTTCTTAATATGAATGGTATTGGAGCAATTATTCTCATAGTTTCTTTAATAACACGTTCCAAATAATCCATACTGTTTATATCTTCTGTTGTGAAGTTTCTGTCACTATTTCCTAAAATTGAAGTTATTTCTTCGAAGACTTTTTCCTGCCGTAGACAAACATATGTATTCAGTCATTTTCAAAAATATTGATTAGCGAACCTGAATATCGTGATGAAGCCCTAACACTAGCAACACCGAACTTACGGCGATTGCAGTTGTTTCACTAGATGCGAAAAGCATGAGAGGAGTTTCCTGTAAAATTTCTTCGTGCGTTAGTTTCTTGGTGTCATGCAGTTCCAGTAGATAATTTATAAAACGTTTCTTTTTTACAGATTCGTCTGAAATGATACATTAGCGTTACAGCAAATACTTAATTCCGCAAAAATAATACATTCAACATCTTGCGTTTGTTGGCTAATATTACTCTTGGAACATCGGTTAATACGTATTATCTGAAAATATTTTATTTTAAATTATCTTCCTTCTGTTCTGATATACATACTTGTTCCACGAAGTCACGAGCTTTCTTTGAGATAATTGTTGCCTCTTTTTTAAGGGCAGAATATTTCCAAAAGAAATCACTTTGTAAAAATGGGTTGAAAAACCGTTCTGTTAATAAATCCTCAAACCTGAAAATTCCAGATAAAAATGTATCTTTCTCATTTAATAGATTTGCATCTACGTCTCCTAGAGTTTCTAAAAATCTATACATAAAAAAATTGCATTGTCAATTTACTAAAGACATACCACATGCAGACTCGAATGTAAATTTCCATAAAACTGGAAAAATATCTTTCGGTTCTGAGCTGTTCAAATTATCACTTAAAATGTTTGCATATTTGGTTAGTATTGGCACAAAAGACTTTAGTACATTTGTGTTGAAAGTTTGATTTATGATTTTTCTGTGTTCTTTCCATATGTTTACTGAAAATATTGTTGAAAGTAATTTTGATCATTGACTCTCACATTTCTATTCAGTAAATTACATGGTGCAATAAGTAGGGAACCATTAAAATAATCCTTAGCTAAATCGTAAATTTCACCCTTATTTAGCACGTTAGGAAGTATAACTTCGATATCTTCTGGTCGAGTTGTACTAACATACAGGTCTGGTCCAATCCACATTTTAAATATTGGTGGATACTGTGTTGTAAGCTTCAACATAACGTTCAAACATTCTAGAAATATATATAAATACAAGTTTTTATACTTTGTTAAACCATATTGTATTTTTTAATTTAAATTAAACGTATCCATTGCTACTGTGTAAAAGAAATATGACCCTACATAAATGTGTACACGAAAATAAACTTACCTTTACGTCCTCCTAATAACAAATAAGCAGCCCCAATTATCGGGAAATTGAAAGGGCCTGGTATTTTCATTGTGTGGTAGTAAAGCCATCGTTTTTTCCAGTGGTAGTTGAAAACAAAATATACTAATAGAGTAATTAAGGCATATATAAGGATATCAGTCAGCAGAAATTTCTCGAAGAATCTAATAAATGTCATCTTCGAATGTTGATAACTTATTTAAAACTATTATTGTCGTGTTGTAAATTTATACTCTTATACAAAAAAATAATTTCTTATTTTAAATGCAATTTGTCACGACACCTCATTTTTTGTTGCTCATCATCAATTACACTAACGAGTCAACAATATTTCTGTGTAAATACATATAAACATACACTTTTTTACTTCCTGACCGTAAGCTAAGGAGGTATAGTAATCGAATCCATCCTGCAACTTGCCACTTTCATGTTCTCTCAATGTTTTATGACCACTAGAGTACGAAAAAAGTGAATTCCCGTTTCCTTCTGTCTGTCTGTCTGTCTGTATGTATGTGGTAAAACGTTAACCAAAATTTGGCTTAACATCCTCACCAACAATTTTGTGACATCCGCTCATTTTATTGCATAACCAGCTGACCCGGTGAACTTCGTTTCACCTACAATTTAATTTTGAATCTGCAAAACCGAATGCTTTGAAATCTTGCAGATGTTTTAAACATATGATAAGCATAATACATTTTTATTTAAAATATAATTACTTATCCCCTCCAAAAAATTGATGGCGACAGGCCAAAATTTTGCCAAATGAATCCTATCTAAAATGATCAAAATAGGAGGAGTCTATACGGGACAAAATACGATAATGGGCAAAAACGTGTTCTTACCACATTTATCTGTGTTTTCTTTTAATTTTTTCTTTAATATTGAATTTATTATAAACAATGACTTTATAATTATTAGATATTACACAGTTCACTAATATTAAGTGGTACACAGTTGTGGTTTTCCATAAAACTTTTAACAAATGTAACGCCGGTCCCCTGTCCCCAGGCGATATTTACAAAATGCTTCGTATTGTGGGCAACTGCTGCATTCATGTTATTTACGTATAATTTATTTTTGTAAACTCAATACCGTGAAAATTTATTTAAACATGATTAAAAGTCTTTTAATTGCTTTATTGTTGCACAAAAAAAATAAATAAATGTGTACCTACAAATGCGTCATTTAAGGTTTGGTAAGCATTTATGGATATTGTTATCATTGCTTTTAACTAAAGAAGCTGTGACTGCTTCTGACAAGTTGACAAAGTGAGTGAAAAAAATGGCCAAACAGGTAAGTTGTCTGTTGTTGTAGTTTTCACGTTTTATTTACATCATTTATTCGTAATTTGAAAAAATATGTTTTCTAAAGTAACGACGGTCCCCACTGATATAAACGGTATTTTCAATTTTATAGCGTAAGTATTATGTTTGTTCAATAAAGCATTGAAAACAGTTTGTTTAAATGGTTATGTGCTAAATTTCAGATTATTGCGAATTACAAAACACATATATTAAACGTATTTTGTAACGACGGTCCCCCGTAACGCCGGTCCCCTTATTTTTACTTTTACCGATAAATTCTTATCTATAGTGGCTAACGGCCATATTATTTTATGTTTTAGAAAACGAAGAAAACTGCAGTTGAAAACGAGAATATGAACGTGAAAAGAAAAACGTGCAAGAATGTCGGAAAAAGATGGAAATTTAAAAAGAATGAAAGACACGGAGTACAATCTAAAAAAACAAAAGAAAATAAATGACATGAACAAAAATGAAAAGATGCGAGTAAGACAGCAGGAAAAATTAAGAACTAAGCGTTACAGAGATATTTTCAACATTCCAGGCATCTCACCAAATTACGTGTAGTATTGAAGCCAAAAAACATATTTTGTAGAGAATTAAGTTATTTTGAATGCTCATTTAATTGTATTTGTAATAACTTTCCTTTTACCAAAGGCCAAATAAATTTTATTAACGTATTAAAATTTATTATTATTTTATAATTAAAAATGTTCCTCGCTTAGAAATAAAATCTAGTTCTTTATTTGTTGCCTATTAAAATATTTTCGCGGACATTATTATAAATTGCTTTTTAACATCCTGTAGTGTTAATTTAATAACAAAAAATTACACCTAAAACATATTAGTTATTATTTTTTTCTTTTCACTGATTTTGCCCTGTATCGTATTTTGTCCCATACTTGTAATTTATCATTCGATTCATATTTTTTAAATTTGCTTATATAAGGTGAAAAAATTAATGAATGGGTGAATTAATTTTATTGATTTAATCGTGAACTACAAAACCGAATGCTCTGAAATCTTGGAGATGCTTTAATGTTATCATAAACTTGGTAATTTTTTGATTAAAATGTATTTGTTCATTCCCCCTAAAAAATTGATGACGTCACCTGAAAATTTTGCTGAATAAATCCTATCTGAAATGTGCAAAATATGTTGAGTTTTTACTTGCGATTTATCACTGCATTAAAAATTTTTTAGTTTTGCTCATACGGGGTGTCTCAAAAAAAATAATCACTGAGTTAATTTATTTTATTGATTGAATCAAGAATTGCAAAACTGAATACTTTGAAATATGTATTGCAGACGTTTTGAAGTTACTGTAAGCATGGTAGCTTTTTAATCAAAATATATCTGTTTATCAAGTCCAAAAACCTGATGACGTCATCTCAAAATTTTGCCGAATAAATCCCATCTAAAATGTGTAAAATATCATCAGTATACATATATTCGTAATTTATCATTGCATTCATATTTTTAGATTTGCTTTTACAGTGACTCAAATAAATTAGTGGATAAGTCAATTTATTTTATTGAATAACTCAAGAGTTTCAGAAATGAATACTTTGAGATCTTGCAGTTGTAGGAGTATTTAACATTGAAAGAAATCTATCTAGCCAAGAAAGCTACTTTTCTTCCGAGGCTGAGGCTAATTGCTAATGTTTCGATCAGTCAGCTACAATTTTTTGCAGTTGTTTTAAACACTCCTTTTCCAAATTGTAACGTAGATAAGTAAAATTTAATAACAAGTCAGTTATCATCTAAGTAACATTTTAATCACAATACATGAATAGATCGTAGTTTATTCGAGACGATTACAGAAAAACCAAATTCCAAATTATGTCATAATAATCACTTGAAAGTTACCTTACCGCTAAAAATAGACTTTTTGCAGAAAAACTATCTACAAAGAACGTTTAATATAATTAATTAATCAACAAGCAAATAAAAGTTTTGCTAAACATTTTATCTTGATATATTGTTTATTGTTGGCCTTTATTTTGTTGTTTTAAATTCGTAATTGGGTTTCCATTAGGACTGTATGGGTTGTGATTTGTGGTTATGAATGCTGAAGACTTAAATTGGATCTGTTGCTGAGTGTTAAATGAGATGACTTATTCATTCCTCGTTTCGAATTTTAGTCGGTAACCTTTTCGTGCTTTCGATACTAACAAAAAATAGTAATCAATATCTTCGATATTTTTGTAATCAACAGTTTCCATTATTTTGTAGTTTTTGACAATAGTTGCAAGAATAATCTTCATGGATAACATAGCATATTTTAAACCTACAACATAAAAGAAGACATATGGGTAGTCATTATAGTTATGTACTATTTACCGATACAGTTTCGTGCACCACAACTGAAAGGGATGTAAGTATAGTGAACCAAGACCTATAAGGTTATATGGCCATCATAAAAGTAGTTGACCGCAAATAAATACCCCCTTTGTGTGGTTCGCACTAAGCTTACCGGTTGGCAATAAATCATCTTCTAAACATTTCTTGCTCATATTTAACAGGGCCGGCTTTCAAAGCGAGTGGTTATTTCGGAACCTTCAGCGGCTGCAGGTAGTAAAGAAATAGTGGAGTGGTGGATGTTCATATTTAGTGAAAGCCGCCCCTGAACGAAACCACAAGAGCCGGTCGAGCTGCAGTGGACACGTTATTTACGACCCTAAAACCTTTTCTATTGTAAACAACTTAACTTCGACACAATGGGATGATTTTATGATGGCCATATAACCTTATAACTCTTGGTTCACTATAAAAGGATTTCGTTTTCGAACTTCTCCAGGTAAAAATCTATCTGGATCAAACTTGAGAGGATCTGGCCATAAATCGGCTCTTCTGTGAAGAGTTGCAATTGGGAAAAACACTCTCGTACCGGCAGGGAGAACGTATTTATCTACAATGGAAATATAAAACATTGTGTGAAGTAATAATTGTTTTTTAAGGACCTAGAGTGACATCTTGGTCTAAGGTTCTTAATATGAATGGTATTGGAGCAAATATTCTCATGGTTTCTTTAATAACACGTTCCAAATAATCCATATTGCTTACATCTTCTATTGTAAAGTTCCTGTCACGATTTCCTAAGATGGAAGTTACCTCTTTGAAGATATTTTCCTACAATAGACACCCATACCTATTAAATTGTCGCTAAAACATTCGTTATCGAACCTGAATATTATGATGTAGACCTAATACTAACAACACCGAACTTATGGTTATTGCAGTTGTTTCACTAGCAGCAAAAAGCATAAGAGGAGTTTCCTGTAAAATGGCTTCATGCGTCAATTCCTCCGTGTCACGCAATTCCAATAAATAATTTAAAAAAAGCCTCTTTTCCAGAGCATCATCTAAAATAATACATTAGACTTAAATTAATAATCCTTTAAAAACCATACTTTTAACATCTTGTGTTTGTTGGCCCTTGGAACATCGATTAATTCGTATTATCTGAAAATATTTTATTTTGAAATGTGTGGTTTTTGTTTCAAACAAACCTGTTCGACGAAATCACGAGCTTTTTCTGAAATTACCATTGTCTCTTTTTTTAGGACAGAAAATTTCCAGAAGAAATCACTTCGTAAAAATGGATTGTAAAAACGTTCTGTTAATATCTCTTCAAACCTGAAAAGCCCAGAAAGAAATGTGTCTTTCTCAATTATTAGATTTGCATCTACATCTCCTAGAGTTTCTAAAAATTTTATCCATCACAAATTTATTTGTCAATTCATGTAAAACATACCGCAAGCAGACGCGAATGTAAATTTCCATAAAATAGGGAAAATATCTTTTGGTTCCGTGTTGTAAACAGATATATTATTTTTTAAATCATCACACACGATATTCGCGTATTTCGCAAAGATCGGGGCAAAGGAATTTATAACATTTGTCTGGAAAGTTCGATTTATGATTTTTCTATGATCTTTCCATATGTGTACTAAAAACATTGAAAACAATTTTGGCGACTGGTTCTATTATTTTTATTCGGTAACTTACGGGGCGCAATCAGTAAGGACTCCTTAAAATAATCTTTGCTTATTTTATAAAATTCACCCTTATCCAGTTCGTTAGAAAGTATTATTTTCACATCTTCTGGACGAGTTGTGCTAACATACAATTCCTGTTGTATCCATATTTTAAATAATGGTGGGTACTTTGTTGTAAGATACAACAGGTTATTCATAAGTTCTATAATACATATAGATTTTGAATGTTATCAATTATTATCGTACATGCGTTCGTATAAAAATGAAACAGATTACCTTTACTGCCTCCTAGTAGCAAATGAGTAGGTCCAATTATCGGAAAATTAAAAGGACCTGGAATCTTCATCGCGTAATAGTAAAGCCATCGTCTTTTCCAATGATAGGAGAAAACAAAATATACTAGTAGAGTACTTAGTATATATATAAGGATATATGTAAACTGAAAATTATTGTAAACGGTGATAAACGCCATCTTCAAATGTTGATAAATAATTGAAAAATTTGATCGTTTCAACTTTATATTGCTTCGCAGTCTGTTAATTGTATGTTCGCACCATATATTTTTTTTTGCTCACCATCAATTATACTAAGTAGCCAACAACGTTTCTACATTAACTCATGCTAACAGGATTTTCCTTCCGACTATACATAAACGCTGCAAGCTGTGTCACTATTTTGGATTTAATAAGCATTTTCCATTCATTTTTTCTAGAATAGTAGATTGTAATAGTATTATATTGTATCGTTAAGTGGGTGACAGGTAGACCACCAAAAACTATTATATTCGATATACCTTATTTTGATTTTGCGCGTAATCCACCCTTGTTTTTATTTTTGTGTAGGTTTTTGTAAAACATGGAAATTGTACAATTTAATATAGGTTTTACAATTGTGTAACCCAACAGGTGAAACTTACCAATTTTTGGATTTGGCAAAAAGCTTCGTTTCTTACTCGTATTTCCACCAAGAATACAAAGGGCCAAGCCAGATAACACTCAGTGTAATTCTTAATTTTACGATATGTAATTTTTCAAAATTTTTCGACGTACTGTTTCTAAAATTGGAGGTGAACTTCCCCTCTGGTGGCGAAAAATATTGTCAGAAACAGGGTCACTCCTATTTATTGCCTGGATAATGATAATAATTGATAACGAATTAATTAATAATAATTGTCTACAAAACCGCAAAATAATGTTGATTGTGACACATGACGCAATAAAATTAAAAAATACTTTAATTACCAGTAAATCTAGTAATCAGCATAATATTCGATCAAACTGCGTAAAAAGAATAGAATCGTAGTTCATTGCATGTCATTACAGTTAGACCAAATTCCAAATTATTGTCATAACAAGGTTGTCATGCCTTTAACACTAGAACGACGGAGGCGGTCATTTGACCGCTTTTGAATTTTTTATTCTCGATATCTCTGGTTTTATAAAATATTTCGTTATTATCCTTCGTGACAATTATTTATTTGTTCTTGATTGTATGTGGAAAAAATCTCAATTCAATAGGACTGTTCGTCACCTGTGTGGGGATATGTCTTCCTAGAAAGACGGAGTGCGGTCATTTGACCGCTGCAATAAAATCGCTTCAAAAATTCTCGAAAAAATTAAAATTACCTGATACCCCATCCTGTCAACATCTGGACATAATTTCCACTAAGATGGTTGGTAATTTTCGTGGTAACTTAATTTATTTTGGCATTGCACTTGATTACATTCTTTGGTTTGGATCTTGTTCTTTTCGTGAAGGGTGTGCTTTTTTTTGGTGATTTTTGCTTTGAAAATGTCGCAACATTCGGTGAGAAAATAAATGACAGATTTGGAATTACTCCAAGAATTGAATAATTCGCCTCAAGATGAATAGTAGTAATGTATATGTGCACAAAAGTTCTGAAGTATAATACTACCACGCCGACTGTATATCAAGGGTAAAAAACAAAAATGTTCTGCTTTTGAGCACTATGCATCCTGATATAATAATTCAAGATAATCGAAAAAAGCTTCTGGACACCATAGCTTATTGCCACTTTACAAAATATGGCGACGATACGGTGGACCAAGTGGCTAGAAAAAATTTGTCCAAAGCGGGATCAAGGGCAAGTTATTTATAACATTTTAGACTTGGCTGTAATAAATGCATGGATTTTATATCAGGAAGTGATAAAGAAGAAAATAAGCAGACGAAAATTCCTCTTGAAATTGTGAAAAGAACTCGCAGCAAGTGATGTTGGGTCAGGTCAGGTCAAACTAATAAAAATGATCTACTGCTGAAAAAAAGTTTACAGGAAAAAGAAAACAATGCCATGCAAATAAATGCCGTAAAAAAGAAAACCGAACGCGTGATAGATGCAAAAACAATTTATGCGGAAAATGAAATAAAGTTACAAATTTCTTGTATGCAAATTGCTTTGAATCATAAGTTTCATTTATGATTTCCACTTTCTAATGTTTATGTTATTGTAATTTAGTTATTTAATTAATACTAATAAAGTATTTACGCTATTAACCATGTTTTACTGAAAAAAAAGTACAGCGGTCAAATGACCGCAAGCCGTCCGTAGAGGTATGCGTTAAACGCCGTCCTCCTAGTGTTAAAAAGAAACTTAAACACCTATAAGGATAGAGAGGAAGAGTGAGGCGACTTTAGAAAATTTTGTTGGGGGTATATTGACATTTTGAGGAAAAAGGTACCACCTATAAAGCATGGTACAATATAAAGGAGCTTTTTAAAACGTTTAAAGTTTGTGTTACAGATTTGAAGAAATCATCAATCGTACTACATACAAACATAGTGTTGCCCGTTATCAATGAATTCATATTTTTGGAGCAATTGTTAATCCGGTTCCTTATTATGGGTTGACGACCAGGTCACTCCAGAGTTGCGAACCAAATATAAACAAGTGTGTTTTCGTAATATGTGTTAGAATGTTAAACAGTGGACAGTAGCGGGGTATGGGTGATTAAAGTATGATACATTAATGAATTCAAAAAAACAAGCTCCACAAAGTCTCTAAAAAAAAGTATAGTGTGTCATTAAAAAATAAGTGATATGTGGTAGAAAAGCAAAAAAAAATAGGGTATCAAAACGAATTTATATGTCATTTACCATCTTAGGCGATTACTGGTTTTACTTATCTATATGTATTTTAATGTATAGAAGTTATCACGAATACAAATTCGCAAAAACAATGTTTTTTATTTTCCAAAGAAGCGAGATTTATTGCACTACATTTCAGGGGGGAGGAAAATAACTTTCGGACAATTTTTTTAGTTTATGGAAAGCAAGTGCTGATGCATGCATATGTGACAAAATATTAAATTTTGCGTCAAATAATACATATACATTTCGACAGAACTTCCCTCGCCCATAAAGTACGGTACATCAAATCCTGTCGATTTAACACAAGAGTATTACCGTATGTCAAACAACTGTAATATTTTCAGGCCAAAAATTCAGCAACAGTTCTCCGACTTAAAACGTGATCTCAGTAACGTGAGCGAAGACGAATGGAGAAACGTTCCCGAGGTGGGAGATGCACGTAATAGAAAACAGCGGAATCCTCGAGCCGAAAAATTTACGCCGTTGCCAGACAGTGTATTGTCCAGAAACTTTGGAGGTGAATCGACCAACACCATAGACCCATCGTCGGGATTAGCAAGCATGGTACCAGGAGTGACAACTCCAGGAATGCTTACTCCCACCGGCGACATGGACTTGCGAAAAATCGGTCAAGCTCGCAATACCCTCATGAACGTAAAATTGTCCCAAGTTTCTGATTCGGTGACTGGACAGACTGTTGTCGATCCCAAGGGTTACCTGACAGACCTTCAATCAATGATCCCAACCTACGGTGGCGACATTAACGACATAAAGAAGGCTAGATTGTTACTTAAGTCTGTTCGTGAAACCAATCCTAATCATCCGCCTGCTTGGATTGCTAGTGCCCGATTGGAGGAAGTTACAGGAAAGGTTCAAGCTGCAAGGAACTTGATAATGAAAGGTTGTGAAGTCAACCCTCATAGCGAGGATTTGTGGTTGGAAGCAGCCAGAATAAATCCCTCTGATACAGCTAGAGCTGTCATTGCCCAAGCTGCTAGACATATTCCTACTTCAGTTAGAATATGGATCAAAGCTGCCGATATTGAAATAGAAACTAAAGCGAAGAGACGTGTTTATAGAAAAGCTTTAGAACATATACCAAATTCCGTCAGGTTATGGAAGGCTGCTGTGGAGTTAGAAAATCCAGAAGATGCGAGAATATTACTTTCCAGAGCTGTAGAGTGCTGTCCGACTGCTGTAGAATTGTGGCTTGCTTTAGCGCGTCTAGAAACATACGAGAATGCTAGGAAGGTGTTGAACAAGGCTAGGGAGAATATTCCAACAGATAAGCAAATCTGGACTACAGCTGCAAAATTGGAAGAAGCCAATGGAAATCATCACATGGTTGAAAAGATTATTGAAAGAGCGATCACGTCATTGAGTTCTAATGGTGTAGAGATCAATAGAGAGCATTGGTTCAAAGAAGCTATAGAGAGTGAGAAAGGGGGTCATGTCCATTGCTGTAGAGCAATTGTTAAAGCTATCATTAGTTATGGAGTGGAACCTGAAGACCAAAAGCACACATGGATTGAAGACGCCGAAAATGTAAGTTATGCCTACGGGCTTATTTTTATCTCTTGTAATTTGGAAGGTTATTCCTTATGTTCATCTATCATACAAGGTCCTAAATGGAAAAGTGTTTTCAAGCAAATCACAATTTTTCTATTCACATATTAAAGATTCGTTAATTTAAATCCAGAAATAGAAATTAGCTGTGCCAATACAACAGTAACCGAAATTGGTGACGTCATCTCAAAATTTTGCCAAGTATTTGTTGTGTCATCTCCAAATGAGTAATTCCCAATTATTAATTTTTGAAGTAACGTAATTATCGAATTATACTTCAAAAACTGACAAAAATTTTATTATAAGTTGTAATATCTGCAGACTTATAATTTTTTTAAGACTCTGTGAATGTCAAGAGTAGTTTAAACCGCAGGCAAAAAAATTCAGTGTTGACTTTGATTTGAAAATGATGTCACACAGTTTTTTTCACTTCAAGTTATACGCAGTACTTTTAATTTTTTAAGTATCTATAATGTAGTATAAAATTACTTATTACGTGTCATACAAAAACTACATTTCTCAAAATGCTAGTTCCGGTTTATTCATTGTTAAATATTGTTAGTTGCTCTACACGTAGTTGCAAGGAGTGGGAAAACATTAAGGAAGTGGATAATAATTCTAATCGTCTTAAAGGAAATTAAAATTTCTTGCTATTTAAGTACGTTGTTAAAATGCATGTTTAGTTTTTGTCATAACAGCTGCTTTAATTATTAGTGCGCAAGCAAGTACATTATGTAACCACAACGTATTATTATAAACTTTACCATCATAAACTAATGCTAGTAATTTTTAATTTAATGATGCAAATGCATCTACGTACAGCATTGAGTAAGGATACTAACAACTTAAAGCCTAAAGTGTTCCTATCAACGAGAAATGTATGAAAATCAGTCTGCTTTAATTATTACCAATTGTGTTCAATGGGTAGAATTTGAAAACAGACAATGCTATTGCTTTTGCAGTAACTTTCCCGTGAAACCCAAAATCACAGATCATTAATGGAAATGTTAAAAAATCACAAGTCTTAAGTATAGGAAATAATTTATTCTAAAATTTGATTTTGATATTGAATTTTATTTTTTTATGACAGCCCCAAAATGATAAACATCAAAATAAATATTAAAGACTTTACCATCTTTTTTTTTTCTGCTACGTAAGCACATCATAGTGTAGTTATAGTTTCAGTATTAAAATGTTCTTTCAACATTTTTAAATTATGGAACATGATTCTATTTTTATAAATGAATTACCACTTAAAACTGAACACTGTATACGCAAAAGGCAGCAGCTTTATTTTACATTCAAATATTTCATTCGACCGTGGTCATGTGACATGTTGTAATAACCGCTGATATGATGTTTAAAATTGCATTTATTTGTGTTGTGCTGTGTGTGCTTGATGTATTCCACTTATGTTTACCCGGAATACACTACTGATACACTAGGTGAATAAGGAACATTTTTTCTTACATTTTTTTACATTTTTACTTCCCGAGCGTAAGCTAAGGAAGTATTGTAATCGAGCCCATCGGGCGATTGGCTGCTTTCAAATTTTTTTGATGAGTTATGCCTCCTAGAGTACGAAAAAATGGGTTTCTCATTTTCGTCTGTCTGTCCGCCGTCTGTGTCGATTTTTGTTAGACAGATAATCTCCGAAACTACCAGAGCGATTGTTGTCAAATTTTATATGTGCCAAATTTTGTCTAATCATCCCCACCAACAACGTGAAGACGTCACCTCAAAATTGTACATCGCAAATGGGTTTAACATTGTATAAAATAACATAGTCTTCCACGTGTGGTTTATGAATCCTCGTTGATTTTTTACCCGAGTTAATCAGACTAAAAAATCACAATTGTATAACAATATTTTGTAATTTAATTTTGAAACTGCAAACCGTATGCTCTCAAATCTTATAGACGTTTTAAAGTTATCATAAGCAATTCTTACCCAAAATATATCTGTTTATCCTCTCCCCCAACTGTTGACGTCATCTCAAAATTTTGCCGAATAAATCCTATCTAAAGTGTGCAAGACATGGTGAGTCTATGTTTGTGATTTTCCATTAATATTTTTTGGAATTGCTTATACAGGAGACTCAAAAAAATTTATGAAGGAGTCAATTTATTTTATTGATTAAATCATGAACCGCCAACTTTGAAATTTTACACATGATTTAAAGTTGTGTTAAGCATGGTAAATTATTGATTAAAATTTGTCTGATTATCCCCTTCCAAAAAATTTATAACGTCATCTCAAAATATTACCTAATAATTCCTATCTCAAAATAAAGTTTATAATACATGATCGTTTTCCGGGTTGGACCCGTGTTAATTGAGTTTTTGGGCTCAACGTTTCGCACACTTTCGTAAGTGGCATCTTCAGGAGCAGGGTTAAGAATAAGGCAAAAGAGCACGGTAACTCAGTATGTCAACCATACCAGAGGCGAAACTCTTCTGGTAGGAATTTATAATGTTTGGAAGAAGTTGAAAATGTGTTATTGTACTTCAGGGACCAATTTTTATATTCACTGTGCATAAAACAATTAAAAACAGCAATTAACATCAACCAAAAAAAAAATTACACAACTTTTAAATGTTATTTCTATTTTGTATCTGGAGATATTGACCTATACGATAATGATTGTTTGTGTCAAAAATGTTTTTACGTTTTTTCGTCAACATATAAGAACAATATATTTTTCTGGAAGTACTTATTAAACACTAATTTTGTGCGTTGGTAATGATCAATCTGCGACCTCTAAACATTTCGTTGAGATTGTCGGAATTTTCTATGACAAAAATATTTAATTTTAGTGTATTACTCAAGGAGCCTACGAGTGCGCTCGATCCGTCTACAACCATGCCCTTGCTACCTTCCCTGGAAAGAAATCCATATGGCTTCGAGCTGCCTACTTAGAGAAAAATCACGGAACTCGAGAAAGCTTAGAGGGCTTACTACAAAGAGCTGTAGCTCATTGCCCAAAAAGCGAAATTTTGTGGTTAATGGGAGCTAAAAGTAAATGGTTGGCTGGAGATGTTCCAGCAGCTAGAGGGATTTTAGCTTTGGCTTTCCAAGCTAACCCCAACAGCGAAGAAATCTGGCTTGCTGCAGTCAAGTTGGAATCTGAAAACCGTGAATATGAAAGGGCAAGAAGGCTGCTGGCGAAGGCCAGAGGCTCTGCGCCCACGCCCAGAGTCATGATGAAAAGCGCAAAACTAGAATGGTCCCTAAATGATCTCAAAGCGGCACAGAAATTATTAGAAGAGGCTTTGAAGGTCTTCCCAGATTTTCCGAAATTGTGGATGATGACTGGGCAGATTTATGAACAAGAAAACGAACTCTCTAAAGCTTTTGATACATATAATGCTGGGGTAACACTCTGTAGTCACCTCATAATAAAATGGTATTTACATAAATTTGTTTCTAGATAAAAAAGTGTCCCAACTCCATTCCTCTGTGGGTGTTGTTGTCTAAATTGGAGGAGAAACGAGGACTCTTAATCAAAGCAAGATCCGTTTTAGAGAAGGCTCGCCTCAAAAATCCCAAAAACGACATGCTGTGGCTGGAAGCAATAAGAATTGAACTCAGAGCTGGAATGAAGGACATCGCAAATGCAATGATGGCCAAAGCATTGCAGGAGTGTGCGACGTCAGGACCTTTGTGGTCTGAATCAGTTTTCATGGAAGCTAGACCATCACGAAAAACCAGATCGGTAAGTAATAAATTTGGACGTCACGTGGTTGGACAGAGATTTGTAAACTTTTCTCATTAGGTGGATGCCCTTAAAAAATGCGAGCACGATCCCCATGTACTTCTTGCCGTTAGCAAGTTATTCTGGTCGGAACGAAAAATTAGTAAATGCAGAGAATGGTTTCAGAGGACTTTAAAGATAGATGCCGATTTAGGTGACGCGTGGGCTTATTGGTACAGGTTTGAACAACTTCATGGCACACCTGAACAACAAGAAGAAGTTAAACAAAGGTGTTTAGCAGCAGAGCCGCATCATGGAGAGCTTTGGTGTTCAGTTTCTAAAGACATTAAAAATGTGGGGCTTAATACGGAGCAGATCTTATCAACAGTGGCTAAAGAAGTGGTCATACCTGTTTAAGCTAGAATCTTGTGTTGATGTGTCAAACGTCGTTAGACACAGAATTTTTTTTAATTGGGTGATCTTTACAGACGTGGATGTAGATATTAAGAAAATACTTAACATAAAATAATTATAGATTGTTCCCAAAAGAAATATAAATATATGTGTAGGTTTTTTATTGAGTATCACAAAACGAAAGAACAAGAAATCTGAACCTCATAATTCTTAAACAAGCTTTTCGTGGTTTATCTGGATTGACTTAATTTTGCTTTCAAAATTTAAGAATCTCTGAAAACTGTCTTCTATGAACTTTCGTTGCTACCTTCTTCTGTTACTTCATCAATATTACTGTAAAACAATTCATAGTCGAATTTTCAAAGCTCAATGATATTCCCCTATAAATTTTTTAGTATATTTTTTCATTAAATTTGTGTACGTCTTTTTTAGGAAGATTTTAAACTTCTTGCGTTTGTATCTGTTAACCAAGTAAATTTATTAATATCCAAATTTTTGACAGAAATGTTTCAACATTTTCAGACTTTTTATGGGAAACTCACACATCTTTCATCTTCTTTGCAACACATCATGAAGTTTCAAAGTATTTGTATTTCACCTCACATTTGATTTTCGACTTAAAAATTAACTTTGAAGTGGCCGCATTATCTATTAATTCGATATCTGAAGGCAGGCATTTATGGCGTCACACTGTAACGTGGGACTGGGAAGTGAGGCGAGAACCACTGTGCAAACAACTGTGTCTGATGGTCTAGCGGTTAGGTTGTCACTCACTCTTATTGCTTTTGCAATCATTACTGGTAACGATTTAACGTTTCGACAAACTAAAATTTCATGAAAGTTAAAACACCTTACTTTTACTGAAGTTAGTTGATTTTGTTATAATTTTTCAGGCTGTAGTGAAAAGTAAGTTAAGATAAATAAGTAAAAGTGATCATACATTTGTATCGTGACTAATGTTTTGTAGTTACGGCGTACTGTTATTGTTAAAATCGCTCATTCTTCTATCCTTCCTTGATTTTCACTTATTTTTACTCTTTACCGGGTGTTCCAAGATGTACACCACTTGGCCTTACTAGAGTTTAAACTCTATCAGCTCTAATTAGAGTAACTGTGACAAAAAATCTACAGAGTATACATACGTTAATTTAGTAAATCTTTGGGTACAGCGGTGATTTCAGTCGTGTAGGCAGACTGCTTAGTGATGAGGCGGTTTTCACTTTTTAAAGTAAGTGAGAAAGTAAAATAAAGTACAAGAGCTGTTTTGTACAACTTGAAGATCAAGAAGGTAGGACGTCCTTACACCTTCATTGTACTTTCATAGTACATATAGTCTATTTCAGAACTGTATGCCATAAACCGTCCCAAACATCGACAGATTCCAGGGTTTCTCAACCGTCGGTCGGTTGAGAGATGGTAATTCTCAAAAGGCACTGCCAGGATGGAGCAAACGATTCGTTTTGTTTTATTAATTGTAAACAATAAAGAAATAGGTTACCTTTAAAAAATTGCTATTTCAGCATGATACAACAGTTTCTCCTGTACATGTAAATGCAGTGCTTCAACATTTTTAAAGTCACGACTCTAACCGATGAGTGAATTGCTATATCATACAACCATAGAACATATTATACAACCATGCTGAAAGTGCACTATGGTTTTCAGGTTTCCTTGCTTTAACTCATTTGGCCTATACTAAAAGACAAGGAGACCCTTAGATTCAAAAGAAGCGAACAGCTTGTTCTTTAACAATAGAAGCGCGGTAGAAACACTTCGTGGGTGATAATTGTTGATTTACAATAACCCCGGTTTATGGCTTAGGTGAAGGGAGTTCTGAAATATACTATAGCAATAAACGCGAACTACTTCAGATTTTTATGCAAATACTCCCACACTAAAAAACAGTAAAAACGATTGGTAGAAATAAAATATAATTAATTCTGGAAGTAGACAAATTTTATTTAAAAATTATTTATTGATTCTAATTTGATGTAAATGAAAAACCCTAATTTGACATGCCGTCTTTTATAAAGCGAATTTTCATAATTAATAAATATAATTTATGCAAGTATGTAATGAAATGAAAGTCAAAGTGCATGTACAAAATTATAAGAAAACTAATATAAATATAATTATTCATCTTCATAATAAATTTCAGAATTCTCAAAACATCAGTTGTCTGTTTTATTTTGCCTGCGTTGAAGAGCAGCGGCCAAGTCCTGTTTCAACGCTTGCTGTTGCAAGCTTTCACTTAGTGATTGCACTGACCTCAGACTGTTTACTATATCTTTTGTTTTACTGAAGTAAATTTCACTCAAAGTGTTTCGAATTTTATTTTCCATATCTTCAACCATTCGACCAATGTTGGCAATATGAGGACTAGCCTCATTTACTGGAGCATCTTGTTCAATCTGAAACATGGTCTTATTACGGCAATCACGGGATTTTGTTCACTCACTTGTCTTGTTAGACTTCCACCCAAATTCATGGTTCCAGATCCTTGCTTGTTGGTCTGAAGCCACAACATAGCAGTTGAAGTCATTTTGTAGTGTGAAGTTCGTCCAGAACTCTTTTCCTGGACTTCCACTACATGAATAGAGTCCCAACACCCTTTAATCTTCTTACTACCATCACCAGTCTTCTTTATAAGAATAACACCTTTAAATAATTGTCATCATTTGCGTTTGTAGTTGTGTAATTTGCAAAATGGTTGTCGACGCAGTAGGCAAACCCACCTTTATATTAATTAGTTACAAAAAAGTAACTCAGATGTCAATTTTATCGTTTGAGGTTATGATTTTAAAAAATGCAAAGAAAGAAGTTTGCAGAGATGCTCTAAATCCTATTGTTGGCTGATGCAGTTAGTGTCTCTTGAATCCACCTGGTTGTTAACCCAGAATCAGCCTCTTGTGGGGTCTATAATTTCATGTGGTATGTCCTCAGCGAAACGAGAGTATTTGATGTACTGCCAACTTTATTTTGAATTTTTACAACCACCTGCGTTAACAACCATTTTGGAATAAATAATAATACACATACCTGCAAATCCATGCTCTAAATCCCAAAAATAAACAGACGAAACACCCCCTTCAAAATACATTTCTCTATACTGATCAAATGCATCGTTGGCGTCAATTTCAAGTTTTCTTAGTCTCTCAGATGGCATAGAGCCATCATCTAATGGAGGATAATAGGTGTTGGACCATGGCGATCTGTACGAGTCTCCATCTCTGTTATAATCACAAAGTAAATAATCTCGACCTGTTTCTTTATCTCTGGAAATTTTCAGTGGTTGGTCAACGGAAGACAGCAAATCCTCACATAAACTGGGGACTAAATCAATCAGGTCTCCTAGATTCTTCTCTATTTCTTGAGGCGGCAAACGCCGCATCAAATCTAAAGCGCAATCAAATTGTTGCTCGCCCTAGAACAGATGAGATAAGAATGGGTGTGACAACGTTAATTGCACAATAAAATTCGCTGAAGGTTCGTAAAAGCTGATGACTGAAACGGGGGCTAACTTACCATTATTTTCAAACTTAACTCAAACGGAAGAAACTATAATTAATTACAACAAATTAATACTTCAACACCGCTTGTCAACGTCGCCCAGTTGATGACAGACATTGACAATTTTGACAGTTTGACTCTTGACAAGTGCTGGGGAATTTCTTTCTTTTGTAACTTTGAGATATTTTTATTCTTATCTTTTAAAATGTCTCATTCCACTCGTTCATCAGAAAATATTTCTAAACCTTAAATAAATGGTGATGTAACTGATGATAACAACAATAAAACAACACTATTTGTTTTAAAATCAGATAACGAAAAATCTAAAGCGCGCCTTACAGCTCTGGATTCGCAATTCTCCGTAAGCATAATATGTATGTACCGGGGTACGTACAGTCACGCTCTCAGATTGGTAAAACTCAACAATTTATTTCTCAGTACTACTAATAATTTGCACCACTGCAATGGATGTGACTAGATTCATATTCTCTCATTGACTGTATTCGACTGGCCGCTCCCGACCCGACAGTGGTCCCTATTTAAACCCCGATACGTTCTTTTAGGGGATTCACAAATACCGCCTTCGGAGTTGTTCTGGAGTCCGCCTTCGAAACTTCTGGCACTGCATCCAGGCTTTTCTTTGTTCCAATGCTGCCATACATACTAGAAAACCATAGACGTCGTACCGGGGCGGCGTATGGGTTGATTTCGTAACAATATGAATAACAGTGATTTCAAGATTATTCTGATAAAAAAATGGTCAAAATTTTAAATATTCCTGTATATAAAAAACCTCTTTTTTCCAAATATAAAAGTATAATTTTTAACATTAAATTATGTATGCCCTATTCCACCAAGCCTTAATTTTGTAAATTAACTTTTTAATCTTCAAAACCACTGCCGGCTTTTGAGACAAATGTATATGCAAACAATATGTTTATCTGCTTAAAAAATACAGGCTGTTATTGAAAGGTACGTACAACAAAACTGACAGTTCTTCGTGAAGTCTAAGAAGTATGAAAAACTTATCCCTTATCCAACCTTTTTAGACGCTACTGAAAGATAAATAGGTAAAATTAAATTATTTTAGTAAATCCTAACAACTATAACAATAACACTTTTGTCAAGACTAATTAATGTTCCTATAGAAACTAGAAATGAAATTTGTATTTGACATTTAAATGTCATTGTTTATGGATACCTATTCAACTGAGTCTAGTTTAAGCAACTAAACTGATTGAAAAAAACCTTTCAAGGGGTGTTCTACTTTATTTTGACCGCCACTGTAAATATTTCAGTAACTATTTAATGATCATGACAAATGATAAAATTAACATTAATATTTTCAAACTATCCAAAAGTAGAGACCCTAGATATACTTTGGAAACACTGCTAAAAAAAATGGAAGCTTTATACGGATCCGTATATGGATACGTTTGTGTCTGAGAATACTGGATAATAAACCGAGCTTAATCAGTTTGGTGATTTACTGTATTTATGTTGGCTTCCCCACGTCCCCAGTTCCAAGCTGGTTCCAAGATAAATAACCGATAAATAAAATGTCAATAACCAAAACATAACCTAAATGTATTTAAATAAAAAAAAATTCATAAATCATAAAGCAACATTGCTAAACAACTGCATGACGCGAAACTCCCCAAAAAAAATCATCTTCAACTTATTATAATTTACTATTAATTCTGTTTATTAGAAAAATGGAACAATACCACTGTGGATTACTACTGAACTGAGTAAACGAAAGATCAAAATATCTTGTCAATACTTGACTGGTACACGTTATCATTTGACTGTTGAATCTCTAAAGCACAAACTACCTACTCTAGTAGGTGGTTTGTGCTCTAAAGTCTAAAATAAATTTAAGTCCAATGCACAAGAAGAAATCAGTTATGCAACACCTAATACTTATTTATGCGTCATCGCTTTCTTTAAAAGGCATTAATGGCTTTAGCTCATTAGAAATAATTTGCACGTTGTGAAAGGTCTAACAACTACAATACAATGGAATATTTTAGTGTGAGGCAGTGTTTGGGGCTGTGGACATCTTTCAATCTTAACGCTGGCTTCGTCTGCAAATTGAAGAACAAAAATAATTTGACCTTGCTGTGTGGGGTCCATTGGCCGTTAGCTTCATCTCTATCACTCACTTGTACCCACTCATCTTTTCCACTCTTCTAGGAAAATATGAGCGTCCACCTTGGGTGGTCCATCCATCTCCTTTTTTTCCAATAAAACTCCTATTTTCGTCTTCGTTTCTCCCCCACAGTTCGGCAAACCAACAACACACGTGCAGTTTCAGTGAGTTATTTGTTGTTGCTGTTGAAAATGCAAAAAGTGAAAGAAAGGAAATAAATGAAGAGCTGTGGTGGTGACCTTCCGTCGTGTTAACGTGAAAATGAAGATTTTAATTGGGATATTTGTATGTTTTGGAGTAATTACTATTAGTGATGCTTTGTATTTGCAAGACCTCCCGGAAGGAAATTCCACGAGATTCAATGAAGTTGTGGTGAGGCATAACGATAGAGATTCTCGGTATGACCGACACTTTAAAAAATATTGCCAAAAACCAGCGAAGTGCCAACAGCTGAATTACACCACTTGTATGGGGATAAAACTTCCCTATTATTCTACAACGTTAGAATTGACTGATTTAACATCACAAGAAAGTGTGCAAGAAAAATTAGACCACTATGAGTATCTTCGTTACATGCCGAAATGTTGGGCGGTAATTCAACCTTTTTTGTGTGCCTTGTATATGCCTAAATGTGAAAACGGAAAAGTGGATATGCCATCCAGGGAAATGTGCCAGCTGACACTAAAACCATGCAAAATGTTCTATAATAGTTCTGTTTTCCCAAAGTTTTTAAACTGTGATGATGAGAGAATTTTTTCATCAAATTGTACGAATGATGTACAGGGGCTGCGATTTAATACTACCGGATTTTGTATGGAGCCGCTGGTGAAAACTGACAATCAAAATTGGTTCTATCCAGGTAGGGAATTATATTAAAAATTTTTGTACTTATTTGGTTTTTGTTGTAAGATTTTTCCCATTTTTCTTTTCATAATTCACAATATTAATAGAGACCGGCAACCAGTAATACAGCTTTTTTATCATAAAATAAAAAGATGTTAAAATTAAGGAAAATTTATAAATCGAACTTAATTTTCTCTCCACACCGTGTTTACAGAGATACATATTTGGTATTTCCAAAAAATAATTACATGGCAAATATGACGTGCAAAGAATAATAATGTGTGGTAAAGTTAAATGCAAATTTTTTATTGAACGAAATTGTTTTTATTAATTGATTGTCATAAAAGAGTTACGACTTTAGAACATATTTAGGTCTAGTCAAGTGTGCAGTACATAGTAAGTTGTAAAATGATTCGTGGGATCAACGCCTTGATTAATATTAATGATAAATCATTAATCTGGTATATTTTTGCTTTTGTACGATCAATATTTATGATACCTGCCTACGCAATATCGAAAAAATGTGTGAAAAAACTCGATTTATTTCTTTTGCGAGAATAGCTAATACATTCTTTATCTCGAACTTTATAGGTAGGCAGCATTAATTAATTTTATTTAACGTAACTATATGTTTTTATATAAGGTGTTTCACTTAATACGTTTCCTTCAATACAAAAACATTTAAATCATTCAAATCCGAATGGTGTAAGTACCCAACGACGAATAGAAAAATCATTTTGGTAAACCTATGTTTTGTCGAAGTACACAAATGTTATATAGTCACTAGAATCTATAAATTAAAATCATTTTCTTAAAAAGAGTAATTTTAGCAGCAACGAAATGTTTTTGTTCATATAAGATTTTACAACCCGTGTTTTGTAACCCATAGATTTAATAATTTCGAAGTGTTGGTCTATCTCACTGAAATTCTAATTGTTGTCACGCACCAGCCAAAGTTTTCTATAGAGTAGTCTATTCATTTTTTTCATTATTTTGCCAAATTAGTTGTTACCGGTCTTTTCTGAGTACAAAATCATCAAAAATTTCGGTTGGTTAGCTAATATATCTATACACTGTATTGCAAACTGGAAGACATTTAAACAAATTTAATATTTCCGCAATTTAAACAAAAATCCATTTTTTGTCATCTTTACAAAATTATGATATCTATACTTATATAATAAAGCTGAAGCTGTTGTTTATTTGAACACGCTAATCTCAGAAACTACTGGTTCAAATTCAAAAAATCTTTTTGTGTTGGATAGTCCATGTATCATATCTACATATAGGCTATATAAAATCACGCTACGATCATTAGGAGCGAAGTAGCAATGAAAAATTCGGAAAAACGGGAAAATTATTCCTCCTTTGACAGCTTCCGTTGCTTACGCTGCTTAAACGGTTAAAGTTACGTAAAAATCATGTATGACGAAATTGTTCCCCTCTAAAAGTTCTAAAGAAAAGTCCGCGACAGCATATGTCTATCTTTTAAGGTCGAGTCAGTATAACCTCTTTTATGGTAATGAAATTTGTTCTAAAATAATAATGCATTATGTATAAAATTCTCGCGTCACAATGTTTGTAACCGAACTGGGTAGACCGATTTGTATGAAATTTTGTATGTCTATTCGGTAGGTCTGACAATAGGTTGTAAACTATTTTTTAAACCCCTAAGTGATAAGGGTGGCCCACCCTAAAAAATTTTTGTCTATTTTTTTGACAAATTTTTTTATTTTTATTTTTCTAAGATTTGGCATCAAAAAATATACATAACCCTAAATTTTCACCTTTCTACCACCAACCCCCATTTATTAACCATCTATAAAATAAAAATCAATTGCTGTTCCTATTAGTCTCTCTAAGACTCAAAAACGGCTTGACCGATTTGAAGAAATTTTTATATTACGGGGATTGTTTATAAATTAAAAAAATAGGGGAAACTTAAAAGAACAGCTAAAAAATCAAAAAATCCTAAAAATTTTTTATGGGAATCGCCACTTCAAATTAATTTCAATGGTTGTCGTCTAACTGACGTGTCATACAAAACTAATTCTATCGTGCGATTGTAAAAAGTATATTGCATTTCAAATCGTTCTTTGTTTTTTCGTAAAAAAACGGTTATGGAAGTTGATCAGCGTTGTGCTCATAATCAACATAATAGTCAAACATTGAAGCGAGACATTGGGTGGTATGAATAAAACTGAGTAGATACTTATATTCGAAGTACGAAGTACCTACTTCATTATTACTCTTATATACTTGAACATCTACTCTATGTACTGAGTACCTACTGGGAAACATTGTATCTCCCCGACCACAAACTGAACATCTACGCGTTTTGTGAGCATTTAATCTAGAAATGAGCATCGGCGTGGCAAATAACTGAGCTGTCTGTAAAGTAGCTTAGAAAACCAGTAGGATCGTTGTAAGCACGGTTGTAGAATAGATAGGTTTGTACACTAATGGCTTGGGATGGCGACGCTTCTTTTCGATCCCTATATCCATGGAAAGGACACATACAGCTAGCGCCTCTACCTTGTCGAGCGGAAATCATTCTAGTTATTTTGGGGATTTTCGTTTACATTGCTTTATGAACAATACAAAATTTGTAAATGACATTTGATCGGAGTCGATAAGTAGGATTTCTTTTATTAATTACATCGGTTATAGACAGATGCCTATAGAGTTCTGTGTCCCTAAAACGTCAAAAACCAGGCGACGCGATCGACAATTGGCGTCGCTAACCAGGGATATGCAAATGTATGCTAGTCAAGATACATAGAAAGAATGGTATACCGACTCCGCCATTAATTGATACCCAAAAGTAGGAACCAGATGTTAGTTTAAAATTTTTCCACTAGATGGCGCAGTGGTACACGAGGGACCGTCAAATGCGCTGTCAAAGTTGACATTAATATTCAATAGACGCTTTTGAAATTTGCAGCGTGTTTGCAGCAGAAACACCACAAATTGTAAAAGGGAGCCGTTCTCTAGCCGTTCAAAATGAAAAAGTGTGTTCTTTGTGGGCATATTAAACTTCTCAGTCGCGATATTTCGTTATTTCGGGTTCCTGCGGTAAATAACAATTCAATAACAGCTAACACTATTTAGACCATTTTTTTTTCAAAAATATGATTATTTATAGGATGGAAACAGAATAAAAGTCTGGACTGAAGCTGCCGGGTTTTTATTTATTCCCAAGACATATATTTGTATGCAGCATTTTGAAAACAAATATATAAGAATACACTATGATCATGAACATGTTGTTCGAAGAACATTAACTCCTGATGCTATACCGACTATAAATTTAGGTTGTGCAAGCACTGGAAATTCCTGTGTTTCCACACATCCTTTTCCTAAATGCCCCAAAAAGGAACAAACCTATCCATTTCCACCACTACAAGGAAATATGTATGTATAAAATATCCTGATTTATCCTAATAGCCTGCCGTTCATATAATTTGAAGAAATTCCACACCGGATGATCCAGTTGTAAACTTCGGTTATACCAATACCAAAAATGATATTTCCTACCAGAGTACCCATCCTATTAAACAATATCCTAGGAGCAATAAAACCCATCCAGTTGAAATGCTATCGATATATAGGTATGTATTTCTAAACAGCCTCACTTTTCATGACTTACCATTTGGTTGAGTCATGTCCAAAAAGTGGAAAATTACTTTAGTTACGCTACACTAAAGGAGACATCTTTGCCATTCTTGATGATTTTTACATAATATTCGTCAATATTTAAAATTTACAATGAGTTCGTTGAAATACATATACGTATGTGAATAAATAAAAACGCGCATCTTTTTTTCAGTAATGCAGATCCTGAAAACGATACATCCACACAGAGAAACCCTATATCACGTTCCTCCCCAATCAAAACTTTATCCTCGGATACCCTCAGTATGTTGAGAAACAATTATTCAGAAATTTGTGAATTGTTGCCTCTCACATGGGGTATTCATCAACTGCCAGATAAAATTATTATAAGCCACGTAACAACTGACGTCCCAAGAATAGACAAAGCCATCGTTATTGAAGGAGAAATTTCAAAAATATATTTGAATAATATTTGCCGCATGATCGATACCACATTCACGAACTTTCAAGATGTTCTTGATCTGGTCAAAAAAGTGGATGCAGTAACTTTGTGTCACGGTACTGGAATAGGAAACAAAACTAGCCAAAACTGTAATGGGGAGAATACAAGGAACAACACCAGACGCTGTTTATCTTGCGCACTGTTTCGCAAAAATTTGTTAAAAAAAAATTTTTCGTTCAGTGGCCATAGCCAAAAGTTTGCGAACAAGCAAAGAAAAATGAAAAAGAACTACGTACATTTGAAAAGACAACTACATGATAAAACAAATGTAATAGAAAGTTTGCACAAAAGGATGGCAAAAATAAACAACATGGGCGAGGTATTATCTAAACTACCTGAAAATCAAAGATTGGTAGTACAAACATGTTTGAATACAGCAACACAAAAAACTAATGGGAAAAGATACACCAAAGACTGGATATATTCTTGTATTCTGATAAGAATAAAAAGTCCAAAGCTATATCGCCATTTACGGAACAGAGAGTTACTTCCACTACCTGCACCAAGCACAATATCTAGATATATAAAAAACATTGACAGCAGCTACGGATTTCAAACAAAGTTATTTGAATTACTAAAAGTAAAGTGTCACTCTATGCCTGAATATGAACGTCATGGTACTTTAATGGTAGATGAATGTAAGATAACACCCAGCAAACATTTTGACAAAAATCGCTTGGAAGTATTAGGTTTTGTTGATTTGGGTGATTACACTCCAATATCTCAAAGAGACCAATTAGGTGACCATGTTTTAGTCATAATGTTTCAATCCTTTGCCGGAAAAAATATGCAGGCAGTCGGTTGCTTCCTGTCAAAAGGAAATGTATGTGGAAGTACTCAGGCAAAACTAATTTTGGAAGCAATAGTTCTTTGTGAAGCAGCTGGACTCTTTATTGATG